TGCATGTCTCCACCTTTGTTCACTGAAAATCCTCTTTCCACAGTGCTTGGCCATGGGAAGAGAAGGAGGAGGCTCTGGCAAAAACTGCAGCAATCAGGGTAAGGCTGCTGCAGGGTTTGTGTAGAATAACACATCAAGGCGGTCCTTCATGGCTTTGAAAGCCAGGGAAACGTCATCGCCGTCCTTCCACAGAGGTCAACGATTCGGAACGTTGACATGATAACATCACCTACAATATTGACAAAAACATAATCATTAATGACATTTAAGTACATTTCAAAGTAGAACCACCCTTTAGAACATGGGCCTTCATTTGAATGACCTTCCCTGTCCCGTAGACATACTGTATTGTTTTCTTACAGCTGGAATGCCACCTGTCAATCTCTTTCCCTGGAAGGAATGTCTGCACTACACTCTTCATTTGCTTGATGCACCACTCCGGTCTTGGTTGGATTTGTGTGGGATCAAGCATGCATTGCCTAACATTGGAACCTTTAGGGGGTTCTTCAATTTCATTGACAAGCCCTTAACAAGGCACTGCAAACATTCTTTCCTGAATGTTAGCAGAGGAGCTCCCCTATCTTGCCTTTTCCTGGTTTGCCTCTGAAGGGCCTAACAAATAGAGAACATTAATGTTCATACAAAGGATATTTTCTTGTCACATATATAGAGATTACTTGTGTAAAACCTGTGGGGGAAAAGATGTTGGTTGTCTGCTCTCTGGGTGTGGTGTGTGTGTGTGTGTGTGTGTGTGTGTGTGTGTGTGTGTGTGTGTGTGTGTGTGTGTGTGTGTGGTGTGTGTGTGTGTGTGTGTGTGTGTGTGGTGTGTGGGTGTGGTTGGTTGTGTGTAGTGGCGTGGGTGGTGGAGTGATGGATATGTGCAGTATAGGTCAGGATGAGTTCAGGATGCATAAAGACATCACTGCTGATGATTGGAAATATAAAGCTATGACAAGTTACCACATTTAAAACAATCCTAACAATTTAAACCAGAGTGAGAAAGAGGTTTGGTATTATCCTCATGGCTTGTGGTTCAGTTTAAGCCTCATGCCAAGCAGGCGCTGGTGGTGAAGACCACTGAAGTTTGAAAGATAACCACTTAACAACCACCACAATTACGATAGCTATATTGCTTACCACAGAGGTGGGTTAAATAATGCCCATATGTTACTCATTCATGTTTCTACGCCTAATTAGTTCGACGTAAGCTATTTAATTTGCTGCCGGACAGCACATTTCATGTATGAACATTGAAAGTATCTGCAGTAATTAACCTTGATGGCAGATTCAGCACCCAGGCCGATGTCCACATTTTTCCAGAGCACCAGTTCCTTCTCTTCAGGACACCTGGATTGTGATAAGTTGCATGGGCTTTCGCGTCCTGTATAAGTTTCCCTTTTAACAAATCGCCGCAGTAAAGCCTTAACAAGAACAACAAAAACTGTTAGCAATCAAGTCACACCTGTCAGGACCGATACAGTTTAATCAGCATTCAAATAAAGACAGGTTACTCTACAGGAATTACCATTTCTTACCAATCAGGAGTTCTTTCAGATCTTTAGCAAAAGGGTAGCGGCTCGTCGTCTGATATTTGGTCAGGAAGGCGGGCTGACCCACTTTGAAGCTTGCGTGCAACTGACAAGAAGAACTGAGCTTTGAATTATCAAATTATCATCCCGTGCTGCCAAAATGATCATCATATGACGCCGTGTTTGGGTTTGTCACCTTTTTCTTGCCTGAACAAGCATCAACATATGTTAAAAGCACAGGCCAAATGTCGACGAGCTCTCCTCAGCCACAGGGAACTTTTCCACCCATCTGTGGCCACAGGAAAGATCGGTGAAAGGTAGAAGGATCCTGTGTGGCGGTGTAATCTTCTCTACGGGGCAGGGTTGCGATTGTGAAGAGTGTAGTGCATAGCTCGCAACAGTGTCTACTGCCCATGTTGCGATCCTGACCTTCATGGCATTGTGGAGGGTGTGCAAGCCACAACTGCCAACACTGATGATTTTGTGCTCCCCATGAAGCTCTGAATGTTCGTTCTGAAGCGAGCTTCAGCAGCTTGAAGTTGAATTGGGCCATTCCATACTGACAGACAGCAGGCTAGTGCTCAAGTTGAGTTGTGCAACAGAGCGGATTCCTGTGAATTGTCCACAAAAAACAACTTATTGAAAATGTTTAATCTGTCCTGTGGGTTCTTGGTTATTCATAAATAGACCAAGTTAGATCTAGACAGTAACATACAGTGCCGAGTAGAGTATAAGTCAAACGTGTTTTCCCCCTTTGTAGTACCAGTATGCCATCTTCAGAAGATATTAAACCCAATCCTTCATCAAAATGGTGGACAGCGTGGCAAGGCGAAAGCGTCGCTTGGTAAAAGCTGTACAAAACCGAGAGTGTAATTGCTTCCATGATGAACGCCATAAACTAAGCTTTCCAACGACGTGATGTATATTGAGGGCTATGCTAGAAACAATCGTTAAGATAACTGTATCCAAGAGTGGCTATGGTTCTCCTGTCATTATAATTGCTAGAAGAGGAGGAAAATCACCTTTTTAAGCGGCGTTGACAAATGGTAATGACTGCTAACTGGTTGCATCTTCACCGGGCTTAACAGTCAAAACGTATTGTTTTTCCGTGACTTTGTCCACGATATGAAATGATATGTAGACTGTAATACTGTCAAATTATGCGAAAACATGAAATTCAACGATTTTAAACCCGGATGTTGTTGGGTTTACCGTGGATTTTCTAAAAATAGCGATGATCGCAAAGCACTGATTCGCCTTGCCAGGGTCCACCAAAACCACCCGACACACACGTCGTGTAGGCTAAAGCTTAGGGTAACTATTGACATAAACTTTTCAAAGGCATATAACGACAATAAGAAAAGAACAAACAAGAAAATATCAACTCACTTAATGCTTTGCAGCAGTTCTTCAGCCCGTTAGCATGTCCAAGAAATCTGTACCAAAAATATGAAGCGTCACGCGGGTCCATCTCGTCAGAATGCCGAAACGTGAATATCCATTTGCTTCTTCTTGGCGGACATATGTCTCAGAGTACCATCGGGTCAAACGAGTGCATAGAGCTTATTGGTGTACCCCAGTAGATTGAAGTGGCTATTTATAAGAGGCTTCTTAAAATGTGGGAGCAGCAGTGCCATAAAATCCAATGAAACGGAGTGTCTGGTGAGGATATACTTATAGCTCCACGCCTAACACACTTTTTGTTATGGTTGTGTTGTCTGTGTATAACAGGTAGTTTTTTCTGAAACTCGCAATTCCCCAATACTGACACACATCATTCGAATATTGGTTTGTTAATATGATAATGAACTGGTGACGACTTGCTGTGTTTACGCAAGGCCACCAGGATGACATAATCCTCAGCCCTGAGGCTGATGTTGCTCTGTGTTGGCATTAGGTAACGTCCTGGCTGTTTGGTCTATCGCTAGCCGTTAGGTGGTGCTTAAATATGCCGGTGCATGCTGGTTATTAGCTGATGCCGCCGGGTGTGCGACTGTTGCACTGTAAGCTTTGGCATGATCTGCCGCCGGATCTGTGTGGGTGCTCTGCTATGCATCGCAAAACAACGAAATCGGCAGCTCTGTACCCCCCCTCACCGAAGCCGCTGCTGCGCTGTTATAGCCGACGTTACCACTGTAGGAAGACGTTTTGATAGCAGTAATGCCTCCAGCAGGTTAAAGCAGTTTATTAGGTTTTTTTGCAGACACATGCTCAAATGCTTCACGGTCATTTTCTCCTACTTTGAGTGTATGACGAGGTTGCCAGTTTTGATATAAGGGGTTTCCCAAATCACCCATATTGCTCGAAACTTTGCAGCTCGCATTTTTTCACTAATTGCTCGGAATTTGGGCCTTTAAACAATCAGAAAAATAGACTGCACACTGTGTGTGGCAAACGGTGTGGCCTTCTGGCTAACCGTCAGATATGTTGGAAAAGGCGTTATAGTGATAGCGTTGCTGCGCACTGATAGGTATGAGAAGTCCACACAGGTTACCTCTACGTCATTGCTATCAACTACGCCTCACTCAGGTCCTGTTAGCACCGTATATATTTTTAAACTACGTAGGCTAGATGAAATTCAAACATGCAGACACAAATAATAAGCAAACAATGGAAACTCATTATATATTGAGGCAGAGTTTTAAAAAAATTACTACCAAGTCAAATTGCGTTTGTTACCTTTTACTACCTTTCAAGGGCCTTAATTTGGGTAGATTCTTTTTACTACCTTTTACTACCTTTTACTACCGCGCGGACACCCTGAATAATGATCAGCTCATCTCATTAAAAAAGAAACATGTTTACACCCTATTTTAAGTATTTCGCATGTTTGTGGGGGAAAACTCTTTTTTTGTAATTGTTCATTGTCTGTTTCTATCCAGTCACCAAATGACTTCAGCTGATAAAGCCAATTTGCGCTTCACTGAGCAATGCTGAAGCCAGACACTTCCCTTGTGCAGAAAAGCATCCTGCAGGACTGCCAGTTCAAAGCAGGAAAATCAATGTCCTCTCACAGTGCCACATTATGTAAACCCCAGCCATCTGAAAACGATCAGAATCAATATCTGCAGCGTTTAGCGGCCATGGGGTGACCGTGACATCTCTCATACATACTTTGATATGAAGTCTGTGTAGTCTCTGGATTCTCTTTTACTTTTGTCTACTCTTGCAAAGGCTAACACACATGTAATGTTGCTTTAGACCAAAACATATTGCACTTATTATAATTACAATACCGTTAATCTGAGCTTTAAGTATTTAACAGAAAATAATGTTTAAACCTACATCCTAAAAAAAGCAAACTTCAAAGGTAATACATTACTCTTTATGTGATTCCTGAGATAGCACTATGAGTAACAGCAGCCGTCTGGTGATTACTGTAAGACACAATAAATACATTTAGCCAGGGAATAAACAATTACATAACTCCTTTGTGCTCATAACAACTTATTTTAATAGCCTGAGAAAGTTGACACACAACTACCAATGTTGTAGCTTTTCATGACATTGATTAAGCTAGCAAAAGGTTGAAAATGCCACAACAAGTCATAATCTTCACTTACATCACAGACTTTGGGCTTAATACCAAATGAAGCAAGAAAAAAGGTTTTCCAGTTTTCACATATAATGAAAAAAGGAGTACCACAGTAGTACCACAGTAAGAAGCTTAGATTTCCCTATTTTGTGGCACAAAGTAATTTCAGAAAACGTGTCATTTGGAATATCTAGCTAGGTGATAATGTTCCCTCGCAAGACTTTCAACAAAAGGAGCACACATGTGGCGTCGGTTCATGCAGCGTTTGTGTCATGCGAGAGTACAGTAGTTAAAGAGCTGCTTTGTGGGGGACCCTGATGTAAACAAGACGAAAGTCTTTCTCTGGTCTGCATCCCCTTAACAATTGTATGTTTTGAGCTGTACTGTACTGTACCCAATATACAAGCTGTTAATAAACTTTTCAATCAATCAATCAATCTTTGTTTGTCTGCCAACACAAAGACCGAAATGTGAAACACACAACAGCACATTGTACTTTGAGCATCGGATGCTTGTTGTGCTGTTGATGACGGCTCCATGAATAATTGCTTCACTACTGGATTAATGGTGCAGATAGCTACTCCTCCCTGAATAATTATTTACAGTAGAAAGCAAATTCCCTTACATATCTATGACCAACTGCACATTCCTGTGAGGAATATCAATGCTGTGGCCGTTCATAAGTTCATCACAACCATCTATGTATTCTCAATCCGTGTTCACAGCAGCCCAGGGTGTTATCTGCTGTTCATCAGAAGGGCTGTTTTCCCTATTGAGATAAGAAATTAAATCTGCAGGAGCAGAGGATGCTGGGTTTGCTGCAGGGTGGCGAAGCAGCAGCTCTGATAATGGAGCCGGCTCCCATTGCGCAGGCTATGAGGCAAACAGCCGTGGCGCCAGCCCAACCCTGCCTATGAGAGGAGAGCTAACAGTGTCCCTCCCTCCCTCTCGTTCTCTTTGTGCATGAGAACATGTGGTCAAATGTGCATGTGACAAACAGAGGAGGACCACATGCAGAATTATGTGGGAGGAGAAGGCAAGAAAATGTGCAGAACTGTATAGGGTTCGCTTGTGTGTTTAATGTAGTGAGAATATGCATGCATGGTGGGTCAAACATACTGACCCTGTGCAATAAAAAGGGATCAATCGACTCTCCCTTTCTCTCCCTCTGCTCCATCACTTGCTGCTGGTTTTTGCAGGCTGGATGGGTTATGTGTGGATGTATATTATGTAAATGTGAAGAGCGTTATAATTTCAATTTGGGAACTCACCAGAATACTGTGTCGCCTTGGATGCTCCTCAAAGGGTTCACTTCAAAGCAGTCTGCAGAAAGAAATAAACGGTCACACCTTAATGTA